CTAAGTAGTTCCAAGGGTGCATGGAAGCACTAACAAAACCGTGCAAGGATGCCATAAAGCAAAGGACACAAAGTACACAAGGTTACAAGCACACAAGGATGCAAGGTCATTAACTTGCCAAGATGCAGAAATTGAAATTCCCAAGGACGCAATGTTACAAAGATGCAAAGTGTGTACAAGAGGTACAAAGTTATGATGCAGCAGTACAAACTGCAGGGATTCGTGGCTCCAAGGAACCTACAGTACTTACTTACATGGAACATCAAGGTGGAGTTTCATCCTTGAAAGTTCACCTTGATGCTTGGTTGCAGAGATACATGCATGATGACAGTCATTCAGGCTGCCGTGCCCTATTTCTAATAAGCTACTTTTCCCATTACTACTTACATACCTATGTCCTTTTTTTATTACATAAACTATAATGGTGGAATAAAGGTTTCTCTTCCTCTTTTTTTTCTCTTCAGCTATGTTATTTATTTTGCCTTATGGATGACTGAATATAAGAAGCACAAGACTATGAGTTATGAAAACACTGCCGCTCCTCTGTTTTGTCCATCTTGGGATTATTACAGGGTCTATAAAGGTGAGTCTGTGAAGGTGCCTAATTTCTAAATTCCAATATATGCAAAGTCATAACGATGCAGTAGCACATATCATTTTATTGGCCACCCTTCACTGAGATATTATTATATGTCGCATCAAGGGTCCTTTAGGTTTCTATGGCATCCATAGAGAGTTGTGCTAAATTATTGAATGCATACATCACACTACTGCAAACATAGCAGCTGACTGTTTTGATCTGAGAAGATTAAAGTTTCTTTGGCAAAAATAAAAAATGTGTAGATCAATACTTTAGAGTTTAAGGCAAACTAACTAATTATTATTTCCTTCAAGGTAGATAAGCAAACTAGGTTAGTAAAACCATAGGTAGAGAAAGTAGATCGGAACAAGGGAGATGAAAGTCCAATAGTAATAGTGAAATTCATATACAGTAAATAGGTTGATATGTTGGTAGAAAGTGAAGATAAAACTAAAAGTTGGTTCCTCGAGCATGCAGATATGCACACCATAAAATTAATGTAGGATCAATGTGTCATCTTTCACATTCTGTCTATCAATCACAGAGTTAATAACACAATCGATAAAGAAATGTATCAATTAGTGGCATTGATAATAGAAATGGAATTGGTCAATTTTTTGAACAATTCCCATCCCTAGTTGTAATCTTGCAGTGACATCGCATGGATCCCTTTGGAGTTGATGGGTAGGCACGAAAGAAGGAAATCGTGAATTATGCAACTGATTAGGCAACTCGGTAAGGGAGATAGGTAGTAACAATGTGAGTTGTGTGGATACTTAGGTAGGTATATTATAGGTATTTAAGGGCAGTAAATAGTCAAGGAAGGTACTGTAGTTAGGTTAAAAAAAGTTAAGTACATGTACTGTATACAGGTAGATGTTTGTAGGTCAGAGTGTAGGTGATATGAAAGTATTTAAGTGGGTAGGCTTTTGTATGATAAACACTAAGGCAGGGTAACAGGGTTAAGAGAACAAGGAAAGATGAAGAGAAGATGAGGAGGTAAGGATGGTTATAATGTAGATCACAAGGTGGGTAGGTAGCTAGCTAACATTGGGCGTTGGGAAGAAAGGACAGAATTTATGTAGGGATGCAGGTAATATGTGAAAATAAATCGGGTCCAGGGTCATTAGTGCAGGCTTGGTCTTTGTGGGCAGATAGAGTAGGGGAAGAAGTAACTGAGTAGGAAAATGGTAAATGGTACAATGGATGGCTTGAACATAAACTCAGCTGTGTCTGCATGAAGTTTACAATAACTGTGAGTCTTGTAATCCTGGAGCAAAGCGGTGATTCAGTCAGACGTGATAAAACCTACCCTAGTCTACAGTAAGGCAATCGTTAGGGTAAGAAAATAAGTAAAGAAAACAACCATTCGTAGATATATGAGAATGAATATTTTTCCCTCCCAGTGGTGAAACTTTTGTCATGCTTGAATGCCCTCATCAAACACAATAATAGTTCAAGTTGCAATTAGACAATTGTCTCGCCGCTGCAGCCTAAGTCCCAACTGCTGTGAAAACCGGCTGCTGGCAGATGATTTAAGCTGTCAGCAGCAGAACTAATTAAAACCCACATGCAGATACCACTATCTTTAACTGGAGAATTCCAGAATGACAGGCCTCGAGTCTGCACTTGATGGACGTATTTAATGATATAGCACCAACAGTGGGGCTACATCTACAAAAACACACTAAGGCAGGAACAGTACATTGGTCAGCCAGGCCAACTGTACCATGTCTGTTCCACTATCTCGATTATAAACTATAATTTTGTTCCACCATTTATTAAAAAGAATTTCTAAGCTAACAATACTGACCTACTTCTATCTCTTTCACATCTTCGTACCTTTAATTTGTCCTGTACAATTCAATGCAGCTTATCTCTTCCTAATTAACAGCTACTTGGTACTTGGTACAATAGCCTTTAAGGTGACTTTGAGACTTTCCAGATTTTCCACTTTACTTTCTAACTTTATATATATTCATTCTATTAAGTAGACCACAGACTGTTAAGAATTTTTTTCAAAATATTTGCCATAAGCAGGTAATATACAAGCGAGTCCATAAAGTCAAAGTAGAATAAATACATTTATATTACAAAGGAATTAAAAATACTTAAACTATTTGGTTCCCATCTGCTGACAGGTGTCCACATATCTGAAGTTTTTACACTTAGTCCTATTTAATAAAATATTCCTGATGATTGAGTGATTTTGATGAAGACAACGGTACCTTTTAGTGATATTGACCTGTTTATGAGCTAACTTTATTTTCCTATAGTTTCTTCAAATCCTAAACAATTGAGGCTAACTCTGACGGTTTTGGTTTGTGTTTTTAGTTATATATCTTCCGATACCTAGATGTATTTTTGATTTTCTTTAAGATGTTGCTTAACTCCTAATCAATACCCTCTCCCCAAAATGTAACCTAATCTACATTTTTATTTGAAAAATGATTTGGCTAATGCTTAGCCCCTTCACTTACAATATTTCTTGGATATCCTGTATCTACTCTTTTAACTTTTTGACCACTTCGATTAAATTAATTTTGAGTGACCTTTTAGCTATACCCCTCACACCCATCAACTGACAATTCAACGCTGTAGCTTGTTTTTCCAGACACTCTCAAGTTGAAATCAAAGATGGGCACTAAATGTTTATTTTCTGGAGCTAAAGCTCTGGTTTTGTCTATATTTCATCACTGATTTGCTTTATTTTGCAAGCAATACTTTTTCACATGCTGTGGACTTTTTCAGCGGTCTGGTCTGTGTTGCACACAGATATCACATGATGCAACTGCACAGACTTCAGCTTAGTGCTACTGTCTGATTCTCTCTCATAAGACGCATGGGATCTAGTAAATCCCACACGGCTTCTGTGTGGTCTGTAAGGAGATGCTCTCCTGATCTCTTTGTTTTTAACAAAATAATTTTCTAAGCAACGGTTGTATAACTTCAGGGTTTAATCAACAACACTCATCATAAGTCACTTTAGTCACCTTTCTTTCTGTTTCTGCTTCTGAACAATACAAGTTTGTCCTGACTATGTCTATACAACAAGTCTACTTCATATGGTGACCACTGCGTGTATTTACTGCAAGGACCTTAAAACACTTAAAGTCACTGATGTTATGATTACATAGCAATCAATTATTCTATATGTATATACAATATGATACAGCTTGAACTTTTACAATCTTTTTATTTTCCTTTTTTCCTTTTCAGTTTCCATGCCAATATTTTCTCTTTAGTAACTGTGACATACAGTATTATAAAACCCAAACAGAGACTGTTTTTAAAGCAATGGGACCATGTTTTAAAGGACATCTTACCGACACTGCTTAAAAACAAGTCAAGCTGTTTTTACTGTTACTGTAAACTTTTACTATTTACTATCTGTGTCTTTCTTGCACAACACAAGAAGGAAAAAGGTAAAAAGTATCTCCAGGATAACGAGAGCGATTGTGAAATGTGCAGAACCTGAACCTGAAAAAACGGTGACAGTCGGCAGGACTATTCTTCTGCAGTTAATGAGCAGCTGTGCAGCAAAGAAAAAAAGGTTGTCATTCCAGTCGGCCTTGGAAAATGTTTCTGCTCATTCTTAACTTTGGAGAATATTTAAAATGTTCCAGTAGTTTGAATCTTTAATACTGAGCTGTATGATTAACGCTGCTGCAGGTGCACACTGACATTCCAGCTTAATTAAAGATTTGTCATTTATTGAGTTACATTTTGGTGTTTTTAAATGAACTAATATGTCAACACAATGTGTTAATACATTTCAGCTAACTCAAACCTGCTTTATTTGGTTGATATCACAATTCCTTATCTAATACCTTCTTATTTTATGGGTTCTTTTATCTAATTAGAAGAAATTAACATTAAGAAAGTGTGTGTTTTTCTGTTTAGAGTTAGCTATACATTTAGTGAACTTCTAGTTAACCTAATTCTATTTTTGAATTCTGTAACCCATAGCTGACTCTGGCATAAATTGATAGTTTCTATTGGATTATTTATGATTTTGAGTAGCTGTTGAGTATTCTACATCTTTTGCCAACCTAAAGCCAGAATTCAGAGTTTCGACATTCACTTTACTTTGTTTCTTTGACTATTTTTAGCCTTGCTTTAAATGCTGTTTTAGTGATTGTTGGGCTATTATGACTCTAGATAGCTTCATATATAAATACAGGGCCCCTTAGTCTACAACATCCTTGACCCTCAGAGTTTGGCGAGCTGAGCTATACATGGAAGACGCTGTAGGAACAGAAAGTCTAGGACAGACGTGTGTGTGTGTGTGTGTGTGTGTATATTAAGAAGATAGTATAGTTTCTGGGTTATGAACTAATGTGCTACTATATTTGCACATAGAGTTAGCATAAAGCTAATTTCTGTGTTGTTGGCTAATTAAAATGTTTGTTTCTGCTGTAATTCTTGGCTACTTTTTATATGACTTCTAATTTTGGCATAACTTTTTTAAATGTGCCCTTACAGTAGGTTTTTTTCTTTTCTCTTAAATTATTTGAATCTGGCTTCCCTCAAATCACCACTAAGACACAGACAATGGGTTCGGTGTAAAACCATTGTCTCTGTCTGGTCTGTGTCTCTGCAGCTAAAGAATGGTCATTAGTATACCAGAATTTAATAGGTGGACGACTATGAATGAGCCGCTCTGGCTGTACTGATTATACTGGTTTTAATTGGTGGCCAAAGTTGTCCCTCACCATAGCAGACAGGTGCAGGGGCAAAAATGTTAGTTTTGTACCAGTTAACGAGTTCATGCTGTCCACTTTTATATACTTGTCCCCCACCACCTGCCATTTGGATGTAGAATAATGTCAAGCCACATAACTGCACATGTTTTTTTTCTGCCAGTCACATCATTCTATCTCTGTCTGTCTCACATAAAATTTACCATTTTATGTGAGACAGACATCAGCTTTTTGCTCTCCAAAAGCTGATGACACCACATTACCATTATTCTAACCTTCTGCTTCACATGTTCTTTGCTTTGATTTTTGTCCTTGTGTGATTGTAATCTTATTAGTCTGGGGTTGTGGTGACTATCAGCGACAGATATCTGATTTTCATAGTTAATTAGCCAATGTGAAGACCAGACTTGACAATTTCTGTGAAACTGCATGAACCTGATTTAATTTCTTATGTAGATAATAAAAACTAGGCAGCAGTGAATGCAAGTTGCTAGGCTAGGACAACTAGCATGGGATTCTTTCATTAGCTTCCAATTAAAATAATTTGTATCTGTTTTCTTAAGAAACAAGAAACACAAGAAACTGTGATCATGGGTGAGAGGAACAAGCGTTAGCTCAACAAAAACATGCTGCGAAACAATTGACCTATCCACCAGTACCCCTGCCGCCTCACCATGAAGGATAGACGGTGTCGATTAATCGATTGATTTGCTTAGCAATAATTACTAATAGTCAGAAACACCAATTATACTTTTACTGAACAACATCTTCCCATGGTTTTGAATCAATCCTCACTGAATCATCCCTCACTTGAGACAGATTCCAGTCTTTCATTAACATCTTTACCCATAGCTTGTTTTAAGGTTTACATATTTGGCCCACTTAGTTCCTGCACTAAAAAAAAAAAAAAAAAAAAAGATTTTCAATAAGCAGATTTGTCTTGCTATGCATCATATGTGTCCTATGGGAGTCCTATGGCTGCTTAGTAATGGGCACAATTATTTACTCAATGGTCCCACAAATATGTTGTGGGACAGGTAACACACAGTGTTATCTGTGTTCACTGGATGAGGGGAGAAGAGAAGGCAACACAAGGAGACTGACCAACCAAACCTAACAAGGCAACAAGTTCTAGACAATCAGAGGTGGCGCATCATAAGATTCTGTAAGCAAACAAACTAGGCATTTCTGTTTACAGGAGCAAGACATGCCAAACACAAGAAAGCATAAGTAAGCAAGACTTCCTCAACAAGATCACAAAACACAGTCTGGGGGAAATCGGTACTTTTAAACCAATTAACAGAAAAACAAATCTCAGTACACAGCAGAACCTCATAAAAGTCAGACTTAGCAAACGTGGCTGAGAATATGTTAAAAGAGTGGATACAAAATGTAGCTGCACCAGCAAGAGACCTCCAACACCTGACTAAAAATATTCCTGTCATTGTCCAATTGAACTGTAAAGTGATTCAGTGCCGTTGAAGAAAGAAAGACTTTAAATCAATTAGTAACATGGGAATCATTGAGTTAAAATGAATATCTTTGTCACTATAATTTCAACTGATGTCATTTTATTTTCTTGCACGATTGTTATACTTTTTAAAAATGCAAGGCATTAATATCACTGTTGCCTGTCTGCTTCCAGGTAAACTGAGCTACAAATACACAAACTTTGTGGCAGGAACGTGTTCCTCTTTTCTACAGTTAACAGAACTTTAAGCCTTTAAGATTGCTTTTTCTACCACTGTTGTCAATATTTGACCTTCAGTCTCTGTATGTACAGGCACATTTTAGAAAGTACGAACAGCTACAGATGTTACTCAACAAAGGATAATAGATGAAATGAATTTACAAATTTAAACTGTGGTGCTGAATGGGTTTCAGTACGTTTAAAAACACGTTTTTTCCCCCATATAATTGTGTGTGTGTGTGTATGATATGATTTTTAAATCATGCCTTATCATTCATCCCAACATCCATTCACACATACATTTCCTTAGATGTATGTTTTCAACCAGCATCTACTCTGCAGTATCCAGTCATTAGACCTGTCATTCAAACACATCAATCCAACGATCTAAACATGTTTTACACTCCCTATTTATTCCCTACTATAATTTCTGACCATAACAACCTACTGCTGCAATTATTTCACCTTGCCATCCACCATGTGCTTTGTTCCTGCATTGAGGAATTGGAGCAGCAATTCCAATCCCTGCTCTTTGCTTTCGTTCTTTTCCGTGTCAAGTATCTGAAACAACTGGGGCGAATGTCACTCATTTGCGGGGCGAAAAAAAAGATCCTCTCATTTCCTGCAAACAGAGGCCTATTCTAATGAGAAACTAAACCCTGCTTTCCATTTCTCTTCTCAGCTCTCTTTCACTCACCTCATGAGCAGCATTTCTTTTTCACCCATATTCTACCCTCCCTCTTGTCTCCTCCACCCATCTCATCTTGTACCTATATTTTTATACTGACACAGCAGCAGGTTCTTGAAAGTCTTCTTGAATGTGGCGTTGCACAGAGCGTAACAGGCCGGATTGATTGTGGAGTTTACGTAGCACAGCCAGTAGCCGATGGCCCACACTGTGTCCGGTACGCAGGACTGGCAGAAGGTGGAGATCAACACCATGACGTTGTAAGGTGTCCATGTGAGGATGAAGGCCAACAGGATGGCGAAGATTGTCTTGGTCACCTACATAAGAAAAAGCAGTGTGGTTTTCTTTCACACCTCATTTTAAAATCAGTTTCCTTTAAATAGAAAGAAATCAACTTTTGCTGTTCTGCTCTTCAAGCTAACAGGTAGTTAGCTAGCGCAAATCAACAGTGTATTATTAAGTTTATTATTCAGTGGGAATATACACTGCTGAAAACATGTTGGTTAAAAATGTTCTTATTCTAATCAAATTAATTATTAAATAATTATTGTGTATTGAATAAAAGAAAGAAATTACGTTCCAAAATTTGAAGTTTCTTTACATATTTTGTGGCATTTCTGTGGGTTTGCAAAGGGGGTCCATGACCAAAAGCTGTTTGAGGGGGGTCTTTAGTTTAGAGCCCCCTGGACTAGGAGCCATATCTAACCTTTAAGGAGGAAGAAACAGGACATACATTTAAAGACTACCATCATCTGAGGAGAGTATGTGATAAGCAGACACAGCTGTGAGGTGCCGTGGCTCAGGATCTGGAGCCTGCGGGGGACCTCAGGTCACAAACTATAACATTTGACATCTGGGTTGAGTGACAGTGCCACTAATGCTCTTTTGGACAATTTACTTCCAATTTACTTACTACTGTGTGCCAAAAAATTAAACATGAACATTTCTAAAAAGTGGACGTACATATTTGCCTCCAATGATATAAAATTATTACTAAAATAGAAATATTTCTGTTTAAATACTAACATCCATTTCCATCAACTGATAGCATCCTCAATGGCGATAAAGAAGGCCCTGTATAGACACATTGTAAAAATGCTGTAGATAAAACCAGTTTGTCAACAGAAAAAGGTCAATGGTAGTCTAAGAACAAGTAGTAAAAATAATCCAGACCATCCACATGAGATGAATTAGTGATTAAATACTAACATCCATTTCCATCAACTGATAGCATCCTCAATGGCGATAAAGAAGGCCCTGTATAGACACATTGTAAAAATGCTGTAGATAAAACCAGTTTGTCAACAGAAAAAGGTCAATGGTAGTCTAAGAACAAGTAGTAAAAATAATCCAGACCATCCACATGAGATGAATTAGGGAGTTTACTGCCTCCATCCCTCTACTGCTGAATCCTACCACTGCCTCTGAAAACCATTCACAAAAACCTTTCCCACTATGGAGAATAACAAATTCTCTTACAGGTTTAGACTTCACTGATAAGGTACTGTACACAACAGTTCAGCCTGAGGAAATCTGTCTGTCTCTGATGCTATTTGCTCTAATTTTATCATCCATAATTTATCAAAACTGTCTGACTCTGTTTAAGACAAAATTCTTTTTCTAGTTCTCTCTTCCTTTTTCTCTCCATCTCTAGAGCCCCTGTAATTGCCCAAATATAGATGTGAGGTAAAAACAAAGCTTGTTGAAAAATAACAACACAGAAACTATGTCGCCTACCTCAGCATCAGTGGGAAGGAGACCGGCTTTTGAGGTGTCATACAAGTACTGTTCTGTACTGGGTGAACTAAGAATGGATTCACAAATATGCATTTTCTCATTGATCAACTTAGTACAATATGAAAAACCTTGCATCAAATAAGGTTAGAAGGGCTTCACTTTAGCCTTAAAGCTTTAGAGGTACAAAGTCAAAGAAACGATATCATTATAGTCAGGTGCAGGCTAGCTGACAGTCTTGTCTGGTCTTGGGACAAGATCATCTTAGATGGTCGCCCCCTGCCTGGATCTCTCCTTCTCCATTATTTAATGAGGGCCCTGTTCCTTGTTTACATTCGTCAGTTGTTTGCCATATATGTTTGCGATGCCAGTGTATGCTGTTGTTCATATCTGAACCCA